ATTAATTTTAATTAAGTCTCTTTATGTAGCTTTTTCTAACCGTTGCTTACAGCAGGAGCAGTGAATTGAGTGAGTAGACTGTCCTTTGAGCAGATAAGCCTTAAAATAAGAACAAAGCAAGAATCAAAGTGTATAATCTACTGCATTAAGAACATTTATGACTGCAGTTAATGGAATGTAAAAACATTACTGCAATTAGGAAGCATTACCAATCTACAACATTTTTAAAGTAACATTAATTAATTCAACAAATACTGATTGAGTACTGAGTATCTGCTATATGCCAGATACTCTTCTAGGTGCTGGGACAGAAAAATTGAGTAAGAACTCCTTGAGAAGCTCATCAAATGAATTTACCATTCAACTATTTGTATTTTAAACAGTAACTACTAAAAATAAACTTGTATAGGGTCAAATTAGGTGAATTTTGTAAAGAAACAGCAATAACTATGTTTTGTCACTGTCCTCTCACAAACCATGTGTGTGACCTTAGGCCTGTTCATAACCTCTTTTGTCCATTTTTTCATTTTAAAAAAGATAATAGTATACAACCTGACTGCTTTGTATATTTTATTTTAGACATTGAAAAAACAGTGAATGTAAAACATTTCAAAGGAACAAAATGCTGTATAAATATGAGAGTATTATCAATGACTATTTCTTGATCTGTTTAGGTAAGAGAGTCATAAATAATTTTAAAATATATTTAAGACCAACAATATCAAGTCAACGTAATACTAATAATATTAATATTTAATAGTAATCAGCTGTGTGACCTTGAAAAAATTATTTAGTGCCTTTGTGTCTTAACTTCCTTATTTGTAAAATAAGGATAACAATATTTCCTGTCTCAAAGAATTGTCTGCCACTAGTTAATGATATGACTTAGATCCTTAACCTCCTGCAGTGATAAAAACCCAGTTTTTAATATCAGATATCTGAGTTCAATCTCCTTTCAGCCACTTACTTACACTTGGGATAAGCTATTTAATTTCTCTGTGCTACTTTCCCCTCCTGAAAATAGGATATTACTAGTACTGATCTCATAGAGCTACTGGAAGGATAAAAATGAGTAAATATGTATGTAGAAAAAACACAATCTTGTGGTTGGAATAGATCTGTGAGAGGTGACTTTAATTTCTCCAACAAGTATATTCCCATTAAACAAATAATTCACATAGTATTTAGAGAGAAAATTTAATTATGCAGGACTGGTAAATTCCTACTTCATACAATTTAAAGTGCTTTTTTGTAATAAAGGTATTTTATAATTTCTGTATTTAAAATATTGCAAATTTTGTGATTCTCACATCTACAAGGCTTATAGTCAAACAATGACCTTTTTAGAAAACCATTGTTCATTTTATTTTCCTTTCTTTTCTCATTAAATTTCAGGAAATATTTGGGAAGTGTATGTAATCATAATAATCAGAGGCAGCACATTTTAAGCTGTATCACCTCTAAGGCCATTGTCTAGCCTTGCTAGGCTCTAATCTTACCTATATTTCTTTGTTCTCGGGCGTACAAGGATGTAAACACTCCCTAACCTTATAATAGTTACCTTAGGATCAACACAGCATTTACATATTTTCACCTACTTCTGTCTACCAGATCATTCTCCTCTTTGCATAAGACTTCTTGTCATTGAATTATAACTTACAGCCAAGGTCTATGAAGGTTTAAAGTCTATATTTTGTGATTCCACTTATACTAAATGCTTAACATAATACCCAGCACACAGTAAATCTTGATGAATTTTAAGCTATTATTATTATCATTGCCCCAATGATACGAAGACCTGCTAGAGGATTGCAGGGGAAAGAAAAGTAACAGGAAAAAAATGACCAAATTAAACCTCTCTAAAAATATCCATTTATTATTAATTGGTCAGCCTACAATTTGTTTCCTGTAATATAAAGTGTTTGGAGTAGAAGACCCTAAGTTTTATCCCAGTGTAAACCTTCCAGGATTAAAAACCTTGACTATCAGGTGATTTTAGTCATAATTATAAATACAGTCAAATTAGGGTGAAAAAGTTAGAAAGACAAAAAAAAAAAAAAAAAAGGCCTCCAAATCTGACATGTTCGACTTCCCTGGTGGTGCAGTGGTTAAGAATCCGCCTGCCAATGCAGGGGGACACGGGTTCGAGCCCTGGTCTGGGAAGATCCCACATGCCACGGAGCAACTAAGCCCGTGCACCTCAACTACTAAGCCTGTGCTCTAGAGCCCGCGAGCCACAACTACTGAGCCCACGTGCCTAGAGCCCGTGCTCTGCAACAAGAGAAGCCAGCACAATGAGAAGCCCGCACACCACAACGAAGAGTAGCCCCTGCTCGCCACAACTAGAGAAAGCCCGCGTGCAGCAACGAAGACCCAAAAAATAAAAAATAAAAAATAAAAATAAATCTGACATGTTTTCTATTTTATTTAAACGTGGCTACAAAAATAACTGGTAAGAAGAATTTTATGACTCTGTTAGCAAATTTCTTTTGTCCTTAAGTAAATTTAATTTCCCTCCAATTCCTTTCTAATAATGAGAACTTTACATGCTTTTGCAAACAGAATATTGTAATGTTTCACTGACATTTAATAAGTTCTAATATGGGCACACTGTGCACGTCTACAATCATTTCTGCCTCTACATGATACTAATTGGGCCCCTTCCAAAACACGTTAGTCCACTTGTGCTGTTTGTTGTCTTAAAGTGTTACATTTGCCGATAACCTCCTAAAATCCAGAGTTTGCTTCTCTTTACAGTCATTAAATATATGTCAACACTTTAACTTTTCAGTAAATAAGAAGGTCCTTCTTTTGTTAAAATATTTGCCAAATGTTGCTAAATGTCTTAGCAACGTTAAAAAAGAGTAAATATTGAGTATTAATGGATTCATTTACCATTTTTTATGCATAAAATGAAACAAGCAGAGATTATGCTATGACTGAGGAGACACACTTATGGAGAGAAGAGTGAGAGGACGGAGGTGAGAAAGAATTCTAAACATTCAGGAACACGCATCTGCCAACGTCTGTTGGGAACACAATGTTTTTCCAGTGTACTTTTGTTATAACATATTTTCTGAAGAGGCAGCTAAATGTGAACTGAAGTCACACTGCCTGAGGTTGAATCCTGTCTTCACTATTTTTACACATACAATAAAAATGCTGATCAAAATATGTTTGTCTTTTCAGGATTCTGCCCCGTGTTTTTATATGTGAGCAGAAACAAAACTATAAATATCAAGATGCAAATATTGTTTAAAAACATATGACATGTATTCTTAGAAATAGAGACTGTATGTATGTACTCTAATTCTTCATCGCTGTTTGGCTAGCAGACACCAGGTAGACACAATCAGTAGTTTTCTCCCTACTGCTATTCTCAAAAATCTTAGTCATACCAACAAAGCCCATAGTTTCAGCTATTAATGCTATAACTGTTGATCCCCAAACCTATCAATCGACATTTGCCTCCATCCCTCTACATATATGGCAAGGCCTACATTTTTAAAAGTGAAGTAGAGAGGGGAAAAAACAGCATGAAGACATCAGAAGAAGAAGTCCACGTACAAGCTAAGGAGAGAGGCCTCAAAAGAAACCAACCCTGCCCACACCTTGATCTCAGACTTCCAGCCTCAAGAATTGTGAGAAAACAAATTTCTGTTGTGTGAATCACCTGGTATATAGTCATTATTATGGAAGCCTGAGCCGAGTAATGTATTTAGATTTGATATTATTTGGTCATTAGTTGAAGAAATTTGAGGCTTGGTTTCTTTAAAATTCACCTTATTAAGCTAGTGACATGACATTATAATAAAGGCATATAAAAACATGAAAAAAAAAAAAGTGAAGTAAACAATGACTGTCATGAGAATATTGAGGGCTTACTTTCCCACAGTCTGAATCATCTCTCTCTGCCTGGGGAGATACCACCATAGAAAAGTAGTCTGCTACAGAATTATGGCAAAGATGAAATTGATTTTCAGTATTCCCACCACAGTTGCTTCCCTATTCCTCTCTTAGATATCTCTCCTTAAGAATCTAACATAATATACTAAATATTAACAATTTTTTTCTATTATATTAGTGCCTACGTGTTTCCCATTTTGTCTATTTATTGCAATGTTTCTTAAAGAGGGAATCACAGACATCGTAAGAGAATGTTTGTCTTCTAGACACAGATGCTTAGATTTGTAATAAAATTTAGAGGACATAGAGTCGTCTTCCCTCAGTATATAAGAACCTGCGACTATTAGATCCTAGAGGGTTGGCACCTACCTACCTACCTTACTCATCCCGGCATACCCAGCGTTTAGCTTCAGTGCCTGACACATAGAAAGGGTTCAAATTTCTTATTAAGCTGAACAAATGTGACCGGTGGTAGGCAACCTAGTTGCCTGGTTTAATCCTATTAGACCCACATAACAAACTATTGAAATCTGTTCATGGATTAACCTTCTCAACTGGACTCCTCAAGTGCAGGGATCTTGTCTTTCTCTCACCAGCTTGATAAGTCCCTTAGCTGTTGAAATTTAAAATGTAAAAGAAAAAAATACGAGAAATCTACAAGATATAACATGATTCGCTTGCTGGACAGGCATAAAATACTAATATTAAAGCTAGGTGAGGATTCCAACTTCTAGAGCATCAACCGAGCTTCTCCGCGCTCAGGTTGCCTCGGCAACTTGGGAGAGCGCCCGCCTCCAGCCCCGTCTACCGGCCCGCTCTCCACCCGCCTCCCGGGACCCTTACTTCCGACCCAACCGGCAAGCTGGGACCTGGAGTCCTGCTGTCTCTGTCTGTGCCTGTCTGCCTGACTGAAAATACAGAAGAAAATAACTGCAATTAGAAGAATATTCATTCCAAACGATCCACAATTTTGTTTCAGTGATATACATGAAAAAGCACTATCTATCTGTAACTTATAGGCTCCGCCCAACGTGAGCATCTTGGACCGAGTTTTCAGGCAGTGCCTTGGACACCAGCAACCATGGAGGACCCCAGCTTGCCTAGGGAGACGTGGACCTGGGTGGGGCTAGACGCCGCAGAGGAAGTGGGGTTGCTGGACGGAGTTGACGTGCTGTTCGTGTCCAGACCGGCTGCACCATGTAAGTGTTTGCTTTCCACCTGCCCCAGTCCCCCGTCCCGCTGCCCGACCTTAACTCTCCCGCTCTCTTCCACAGGTCGAAGGTTTCCTTTAAGATTACACTGACGTCGGACCCGCGGCTGCCGTACAAAGTGTGAGTAGCTCGGTCGCGGGGGGGTCGCTATGGGCTGGGCGATATGAGCCTTCCCCGCAGCTTCCACACCAGTGGTCCGCGTTCCTTTCCTCCCCGGAGCTTCCCACATCCCACTTGAACTGAGATATCCTATAAGTGTCAGCTTGCCCAGGCGCGAGGCTGTGCGGGTATGTGTGCTGGGAACGTTGCTGGTGATTTGCGATCTCTCTTTGGGGGCTGATGGAGCGGGAGGACGTGTGGACGGGGCTCTGGTGATTTGCAGGCGTCCTTAAAACAGTCTCAATCTGCGCGTGATGAGAAAGGCCTTTCACCACTTTGACCAGCTGTTAGAGGAAGTAAGGGAAGGCATCCCAGTCCAGGTTCCGAAATTACTGGAACAGTCAGGCTCCTGATACTCGTTGAGTGTGATTCACTCGATAGTTGGGCTTCACAAAGTAGAGAGATTACTCCCTCTCTCATCTTTGATTTCGCCCTTTACATTGGATTGTTTTCATCAACGTGTAAGTTGGCTGTAGAAAAAAAGAATAAGAAGGCGGGAGGGAGAAAAATGAAGGAGTAGAGCAGTATCGGTATCTATAAGAGTGCCTGGAACGTGGTACCAGTTCACTCAGTATGTGTTGACTGAATGAATTTAGCAGCACACTTACAGTTCAGTGTGTGTATAGTTGTATGTATGTGTAATTTGCGTATGGGTGTGTGTATATAAAATTGACATAACACATGTATGGGTGTGTCAGGGTCATTATGTTATGTTTCCTATTCAAAGTAATGGTATCTAGTATTTGAGTACTAGTAAAAGCAGCTCTGAGATTTGTGGGAAAACATGCTTTAACGTTTTAAGGCCACTTTTCACTTGTCAGGCAGGTAAATACATACTTCGATAGAGAAATGTGCCTTGAGTTGCTAATAGTTGAATTCTAAGAAGTTTCAGTCCTGGATTTATGGGGGGGAATGTCTGGGTTTTTGTTGTTTGTTTTGTTTTTTTGTTTGTTGATAGATTCCCTGTTGGTATTGCTACTTGGTTATAGAAATGTTGAAATCAAACGTTCTCTTTCATATACAGGATGCGTTAAAAAACACCTTTGACCCTTTCGGTCTAATTCCAGTGTTGCCAGTCTTACTCCCCACCTCTTCCCCCTGACCCCACCCCCGGCTACTTACCACCACCATCACTTAATCAAAGTTTCAGGCATCCTGTTCCCAAATTGACAAGCAAGTCTTTTTGGATCCTCCCTGTCTGGCACCCGTTCTCCTGTGTGCTTCTAATGTAGTTTCGTGACTACCACTTCCTGACAACATCCTGTAATGATCAAAATTTCACCTCTGAGACAATTTCTGTGATGATCTAGGGAGTTCATTTCACCCTTCCCTAGTGTCTTATAGAAACTTTGTTTTTATTCTTTGTAATAACACCTGTCAAGTTATGTCATGGTTCTGTTTATGTGAAATATTTATTAAAAAAACAAATTTTGCCAGTAATTTACTTTAAAAGTTCATTTTAATATGCAGGATAGTTCCTGTTTTTTCAAAACACCAATGTAATGTAAGCGTAAGTTTTTCAAAATGATGTGACTGGCAGACACAGGAGCTTCAAATCTAGGTAAGGTTTCTGGAGTTGCAGTAACTCCCAGTCTCTCTGCAGTTTTCTGCCAATTAGAACATGCACTAAAATATGTTTTTATTTTCTGTTTTATTGGATTTTCTTTGGACAGTCTCACCAATTTAATATGCAGATAGAAACTTATGTTAATGAATATCAACATGGCATTTTATTATATGATACAAGGACATTTTCAGTCTCTAGTCCAAAAGTGAATTGAAACCGCAAACTTTTAAAAGTTCTCCTCTAGAGTTTTAGGACAGTGAGTCACAGGTTCTAAACTATAAATAAACTACAGAAATACTTGCAAAGTACTGTTCCCAGCTTTGTAAACTTTTACACTGCCAGTTTATTAGATATTTTTTTAATCAAATTAGAATTTTGTCTTTCTCTTTATTCCATATAAAAAAGGAAAGGGAAAAAGTGACATCTATTTTCACTCTTTAGCATTATTTGGGGGGAGTGGACTAGGGCAGCTGAGAAATCCATTAACACTTTCCTTACTGAAAGTCGCTGTAATGTGCTGTGTCAGATACAATGATTTTTATATTCAGCAATAGATCTATAGACTAAGTGAGGGGATGGTACATACACCTGAGGGTGTTACATAGTAGTAGTTGGTATTAAGTCGTTAGAGAACAATACAGTGGTGACAAATAGAGAAGTTTCAAAGAGGAATGTTAGCTTTCCCTACTTTGAAAGAGGATTTGATCTTTAATCATTGTAATTTATTTTACATTAGGACTCTTATTAATCTTATTTAACTTATTTCTGTGTCTTTGAGTGCTTTCTTAAGGTATAATGTCAATTATTTTTTAGTGTTTAAGTTGGAAAATTGATGCGGATTGACTGTTTATTGGTGCTCTTTAATATACTTGCCACTGTACAGGTCAGTTAACAAAATCACACATCACTCTGAAATGTTTGTATTGAGTGAGCCCATTTTCAATGACATAAAGGTGGAAAATCACTTAACATCTTGCCATAGTAAACATACTCATTTTCATCAACTTGGACTACTGTTTTAGACTTGATGATTGAAAGTTCACAGAAAGCTTTGTGAAAAGCTTTTTTATGATCTGATGATGCTTCCCAGGTAGCCTCTTCTAATGAAAATGATCACATTCTTGCATGGGATGAACTGGAGGCGGCCAAGTGTACTGAAGACTGAGGAGAGATTCAACTTTTTGAAATCCATCTCTAGAAACAAGAAGCCACCTACACACTAGACCTGTTTGTATCAAAGTATGAAGCATGTACAAATCCACACCTATGTAGGTTATTCATTTTCAAGTGGAGCTGAGGGCACCATCTCAGCAATGAGGCTAATAATTGCTTTCTTTTTGGTAGAGTTAATGAACATAGTGTGCAATCGTAATAGCCAACCTCAGACTCAAAAGACAGCTTTGTCAGTAGCCGAAATAAGTAACAAAGGACCTAAAAAAAAAACTCAGCCTTTTAAAAGATTCTTTTTAATTCTTGCAGACTCAGTGTTCCTGAAAGTACACCTTTTACAGCAGTCTTAAAGTTTGCAGCAGAAGAAGTAAGTATAGAAATTGGAACAACGTGTAGAGAGTGCAGTTTAGTGATGTGTCTCAAAAATCTGCATGCATCTTGACCCACCACTGCCACATGGGTTCATTGCTAGGTTTACGCTGTCAAAAAGTTAAGCCTCACTTATAGATAAAAGTAGAGTGAAAGTTGAGACTCACCGATAAAAGAATGACTTAAACAAATTGACACATCTATTTAATGTAACCATTGAAAATTATAAGGAGAATTTTTATTGAAATTGAAAAGATAGTGACGATATGTCAATTTTTAAAAAAAAATAGCACTGTAATCTGTACGCCTGTGTTTTACTAGCTTTGATTCTAGAAGTACAATTTTATTATATATTTATCTTAGTTTGCAGATTTTCTCTATAAAGCATGTGGACTGTCAGTAAAATTTATTGTTTTTAAAAGTGTTCTTAAGGATATGTTTGGGTTTCTGTTTTTAAGAAATAAAATTTTTTCATCAGAATTTTTTATCAGAGGCATCTGTAAAGTAACTCTTTGGACTTGGCAATTAGAAGAGAAACTTGGTCTGGTGGAAGTAACCTGAAAATGGGATTTAGGAGACTTAGCATTCCTCTTTTAACTGTGTCATTAATTATCTGTTTGACGTGGGGCCAGCCCACGAATTTCTTCCTTAAATTTCTTAATGTGTAAAATGGGAATAGTTAATGCCTACCCTTCCTACCTGATTAAGTGATTTTGTGTAAAAATATAATAGCATTTACTAAAATTTTGTGAAGTTAAAGGTGCAGTGCAGGTACAGAGTAACCCAACTCAGAATATTTCATTCGAAATCTTACAAGTTTACAGTCACAGAAAAAAATTCAGTAACTAAATAAGAAACCGGCTTAATCCATAGTCCGGCCCTGTACTTAAGGAATGAATGGAAAATCAGCCAGCCCATGAGTGCTTCCGGCTCCTTGTAAACTATTGTCAGGGACCACTGCCATCGTTCATCATTCATTCAGAGTTAAACTGAAAAGTGGTATTACTTGCTTTATTGTCAGTCTTGATCTATCCTTCATGCAGAAAGAATAACTAAAAAGAGGTGGGGAACAAATCTGAACACAGCATCATTACTTTTTGCTACACAGATCACTTGGTTGAAATGCTCCTGGTTTGTGGCCTAGCAGCTTCCACAGATTCCAATTTGAGAAGTAGATCTCTTCAAGCTATAATTAATATTTATTAAATTTTGTAATTATTTTATAGTGTGTCCTTTTACAAGGCAAAGGCATTGTTGTGATCTGGGTCTTCTAGTAAAGCTTGTGAAAATCCTAACAGATGTGCAACAGAAAATGAACAAACTTCACGCAACCACATGTATTGATTAAGGTTTTAGTGTACCTTTTAATTATAATGAATCATGAGTGTTACACACTTAGAAAGGATATAGCTTTAAGGCAGCAGTGAGAAGGCCTTTCACAAGATGGCATTGTAGACTCTTTCAGTAAGAACAAGATTTGACTTAAGAAACCAGAAGTCTGTGGATATAAATCCCTAGTAAAATTCTCTTAATAAAAAATAAAATCCCCCAGCATATGACCGGGAATTAATTTAACTAAAGAATGAGTTGTCAGAGCCTGAAAGAGCCTCTTAACATCCTAAATTATAAGACGTATGGGATATGAGATAGAAATGAATGACAACTGAGGAACATAAAGTGCACTTTGCATCTGGGAAAAAACTTGTCAGTACTGTAGAAAGAAGTGGTAGTTGCTGTATGTACATCACTGGTAATGCTTCCCAGATGTCAGTTTAACCATTGCTGCTACGTGCTGGAAAAGGAAGAAATTATGTCTGCAGTTGCTTTTGATTTTTAATGTCACAAAATATGTTACCACTAAGAAAACGCATAACTTATCTTAAAATGGACATAACTAAGAATAACAAATAGAAACTTTGTCATATTCAAGTTTTAGACATCTGAAATTGCCTATAATTAATTTAGGTGTTTGATAAAATTTTAATAAGTATTACAGCCTCTATAAAAACTTTTGAAGTATTTTTAAATTTATTAAAGTACATTTTGAAGTTACTTTAAATTAAGTTTATTTAAAATTTTTAAAACTTTAAGAGGACATTTACACTTAAGAATGTGCCTTATGAACAGTAAAATTATTTGTTTTTTAGGTATATAAGCCTGTAACAAGTAATTGTTCTTATGCATAGTTAAGTTCTTATTTTAAAACTTGGTTGTTCAATTCATAAATTAAAATAAGCTTTTAGTTGTTTTTCTCAACTATGATACGTGACCACTGTAAATACCAAGAGCAGCATTTCCCAGAGAGAGTGTTTTCCCCAGACCACCAGAACCTCCAAAAAAAAAAAAGAAAGAAAAAAACATTAAAAACTGGGATCAGTGGCCCAAAAGTATGGGAAACACATTATTGACTATTTTTTGCCTGGAGTTAAATAAACTATTTTAGCCTCATATTAAAGGATTTTGAAAAGACTAGTAGTTTAACTTAATGTTTTCCAAACTTACTTAATCACAAAACTCAACTAATATATATAAAGTTAGTCCATGACATAGAAGTGCTTAATTAATATTTGTTGGAAGAATGAACTATGGGGACATGAACACACTTTGACAAATACTGGTCTCTGGAGCATTAAGAGGAGAATTCTACCTTTTAGCTACTAATAAGCTCCATACCACATTTCATTGATTCAGAAAGCTCTTCTTTTTACATCTCAGTGGAGTCTTCCTGTCATGCTTGGCCATGTGGTAGTCACATAATTGTCTAGCTGACATCACCTGCACTTACTTGTACTTAGTGGTATTTCCTGGTGGCATAATTGGACTGTTGCAATACCATGAGGTTTAAGTCAGCAAATCATTTAAGGAGAACTTGAGGAAGGAATATGAGCCTTGGTTGGCCTCCCATTAAACACAAGAGAGCATTTGTTTGAACTTACTATTTCCACAAAGAAATTTGAGGAATATTCTAAGCAGTTGCTTTGCTTTTATTTTTGCTTATGCCTGAGCATTAAATATGACAAAAGTAAATCATATCTAAGTCTGAAAGAGTAAACATTGGGTCATAGATTCATTGACAGTGTTTTTCTTTTTTTGTAGTGCATAAAAAAGATGCATTTTACAATGTATGGTGTCCTAGATACAATGAAATGCAGTATTTAGAGAACAGTGTTGTCCTTTAAAGATAAAGCAGGTTATAGTATTCTTTGATGATGTTACTTATCCTAAAAGATGAATCACATTTTAGAATTATAGAGTTGATTATATGTACCCCATCCTTGCTAACCATCTTTCATAGTTAATGTTATATATATATATATATGTATTTTTTATCTTTTACTCCCTTTTAGTTTAAAGTTCCTGCAGCAACAAGTGCAATTATTACCAATGGTAAGAATTCATTTTAAAACTATGTATTAACTTTGAGTTACAGAAATTGTTTAAAAGAAACCAAATTAGTTAAAATTGACTTAAATATAAAAGGCTAAAACTTATATCAAGATAAATGATATACTTAATTGTAAACACTAAGTCAAGGTTATTGTTCATAATTGTCTCTTTTCAGTTTTTTTGTGCTTTTGTTATATAGTACAGCACTTGATAATATTTTGTGTCCTTATAACTTCATGACAAATTATTATTTAAAATAACTTGTCATTTTATTTAAAAAGGGGTTTTGGTTTTTTTTTTTTAATAAGTTATATTGGTAAATGTTTT